ACTCAGCCGCGTTTCCGGTGAAACTAACTCCCACAAATTATTTATCTTGGAAGGCTCAATTTACCTCTTTGCTTGCAAGTTATGAACTTGATGGCTATCTTGATGGCAGACATCCCTGTCCAGTTGCAACAGCACCTGAATACAGCTTATAGGCACGCCAAGATCAACTTCTGCGCCATGCTCTCATCACCTCCGTCTCGGAGAATATTACCCCATACATTGCTGCTGCTGCTACAGCCCAACAGGCGTGGGAAACCTTGGCCAAACTCTATGCCAATCGTTCCCGCACTTGGGTAATCACACTGAAGGAGCGACTTCAAAACATGAAGCGTGCTGGGCGCACCGTCTCGGAATATCTACGAGACCTGAAAACAGTTGCCGATGAACTTGGAACCGTGGATCGACCATTAACTGACGATGATCTCACGGTATACATCCTCAACGGGTTGGGACCAGAATTAGAGAAATTGCTGCGTCTCTCCGAGCTCACGATTCATCTCTTTCCTTTGATGATTTGCATGACCGACTTGTTGCTCATGAAGAGAGCCTTCATAGGGAAGACAATCGAGTTGATTTAACTCCAGCAACTGCTCACTTTGCTGCTGCCCCGATGGCACCTCGCTCTGGTATGCATTCTTCCTTTTTTATGGGTACCGGCGCCTCACAAAATAAGAACTCTGTTTTTTTGCAGCCACCAAACCGTGGCAACAGGGGTGTCCAAAACTCCACCAACAGGAACTATGGGAATCGGAAGCGTGGCTTTGGACCCAGATTCAATAACATACCTGGTAATTTCGCGTGTCAGCTCTGTGGCCACACTGGGCACTTTGCCAAAAATTGTCCAAATTATCGTGTGCAAGCCGTCAGTCTAATGGCAAATATTGCATCTTCCTCGGTCGCCTTCTCTGATGACTGTCTCTTGGATTCTGGGGCCAACAATCATGTTACTACTGACTTGACCAACTTAGCACTTCATTCTGAATACAATGGACCTGATGAACTACAAATTGGCGATGGTACAGGTTTGAAAATCACCTATGTGGGGCACTCCACGCTATCCACTCCCACTTCTTCTTTACCTTTACGCAATGTTCTTTGTGTTCCCTCTGCTTCACGAAACTTAATTTTCGTTTCTCAATTATGCAAAACTACCAATGTTTATGTGGAATTTCATTCTAATTTCTTTTTGGTGAAGGACACATGCACGGGGGAGACACTACTAAAAGGACCCAACATTCATGGGATCTACCAAATTCTCGGAAAAATTAATCCGAGACCACAAGCACTAGTGGGAGTGAGAACAACTATGGCGAATTGGCACTCACGCTTAGGTCATCCTTCAACGAAGACCCTAAAACAAATTATCAATGTTTTTCATTTACCATTATCCAATAAAATAACTCTTTCTTTATGTGATTCGTGTGAATGCTCTAAGAGTCATAAACTTCCTTTTTCAAATGGTTCCATCATCAATCATTTTCCACTTGACCACATATTTTCTGACGTCTGGGGGCCAGCCCCACTTTCTTCTATTGATGGTTTTAATTATTTTGTTCTATTTATTGATTTTTTTAGCCATTATACTTGGATCTATCCCCTTAAACACAAATCTGATGTTTCACACATATTTCCCCAATTTAAATCCCTAGTTGAAACTCAGATTGGACGAAAAATTAAAAATTTTCATTCTGATGGCGAGGGCGAATATATTGCTCTTCGTTCATTTTTAGCTCAACACGGTATTTCTCATTTTATAACTCCTCCATATACACCAGAACTTAATGGTATCAGTGAGCGTCGGAACCGACACATAATTGAGATTGGTCTCACACTTCTCCACTCCAGCTCACTCCCTATTAAGTTCTGGTCCCATGCCTTCCAAACCTCGGTTTATCTCATCAACCGACTCCCATCTTCTTCTTTGTCCAAAATTTCACCCTTTGAAAAATTGTTTAAAATTCGTCCCAACTATCTTAAACTTCGGGTATTAGGGTGTTTGTGTTATCATTAGCTTCGACCATATAATTCTCACAAACTTCAATTTCGATCTTGTCCACGTTTGTTTTTGGGGTACTCCACCACCACCCTTGGGTACAAATGTCTTGATTTGGTCTCCAATAAAATTTTTCATTCTCGGCATGTGGTATTTCATGAAAATATTTTTCCCTTTCACAATAAATCTGCCCAATCCTCCCCTCCGGTTTCTGCCCTTTTGGACCCATCCCGTGACATGCCATGGTTCTCTCTCCCCGGTGCACCTCATGAGCAGATGGTCCAGGTAGTGTCCTCTCCGTTGCCCAATGTCGCTACTGCCCCATCTATTCCCTCTACACCTGCTATCCCGAATGCTCCTCCTCCCCTTCAACCGTCCGTCCTTCACCCTACATGCCCCACATCTTCTCCCACTTTAGCACATGGGCCCTCCAACTCCTCATCCCTAGCTCACCTTCCTTCGGCAACCTCTCATGCCACTTCATCCCATACCGCCTCCCCATCTTCCATAAACCGTGACATGTAACCATCTCCTCCACCAAGGCCCGATCTTCCTATCCTCAACAATCCTACCCGGACCCATCCCATGACCACTCACTCCCTCAACAATATCTTTAAACCTAAAGTGTTACATCAAGCCTTAACCACCTCTCCCATTGTGGCTAGTGAACCCACATGTGTGACTCAAGCCCTTAAAGATCCCAGTTGGCGACAGGCCATGTCTGATGAATTTAGTGCTCTGGTTCGGCAAGGTACGTGGCAACTGGTTCCACCTGCCCCTACACAGCATTTGATTGGTTGCAAGTGGGTATTTCGTTTAAAGAGGACTAAAAATGGTACCATTGATCGCCATAAAGCTCGCCTTGTGGCTAAAGGCTTTCATCAACGCCCAGGTTCTAATTATTTTAATACCTTTAGTCCTATCATTAAACCCACTACTATTCGCACTATTTTATCCATAGCTGTTAGTCAGAATTAGGCCATTCGACAGTTGGATGTTAATAATGCATTTTTGCATGGTCATCTTGAAGAACAATTATTCATGAAACAACCCGCTGGGTTTGTGGATCCTAATTTTCCTGATCATGTATGTAGGCTCCGGAAATCCATTTATGGCCTTAAACAAGCTCCTCGGGCTTGGTTTCAAGAGCTTAAGGACTTCATCTTGTCGCAGGGCTTTACACACTCCCGATCAGATACTTCGCTTTTTATTTATCACACAGCCTCTACTTGGATCTATTTTCTGGTGTACGTAGATGATATTATCATTACTAGCAGTGACTCTACTGCCATTCATTCCCTGGTTCGTGTCATGGGGGATCGGTTTTCCATCAAGGATTTGGGCCACCTCAATTTTTTTCTTGGCGTCGAGGCGATTCCCACCAGTGGTGGTCTGTTCCTGTCGCAGCATCGGTATATTTCTGATCTCTTACATCGTTTTCACATGCAGGATGCCAAGCCTGTCTCCACCCCTCTCGCCTCTACATGCACTCTTCACCTTCACTCTGGCAATCCTCTACCCGATGGGTCTGAATATCTGCAGCTTCTGGGCTCCTTGCAATATCTGGCCATGATGCGTCCTGAACTTTCTTTCGCCGTCAATTGGCTGTCTCAGTTCATGCATCAACCTACCATTGTCCATTGGCAGGCTGCTAAGCGGGTGTTGCGTTATTTGCGGGGTACATGCTTCCATGGGCTTTTGCTCCGCCCTCAACCATCATTGTCTCTCCATGCTTTTTCGGACGCCGACTGGGCCGGTGATCGTAGCTCATTTGTTAGCACCACTGGCTATTTGGTTTTTTTGGGTTCCAATCCCATTTCCTGGCGTGCTGCCAAACAAAAAGCAGTTGCCAGAAGCTCTACCGAGGCTGAGTACAGGGCGCTTGCAGCTACTGCTTCTGAAGTGATCTGGATCAGTCACTTGCTCTCAGAATTGGGTGTTTCTCCTCCGGCTTCCCCTGCCATTTTCTGTGATAATGTGGGTGCTACCTACCTGAGCTTGAATACCGTCATGCACTCTCGCATGAAACACATTGCCATTGATCTTCATTTCGTGCGAGACTTGGTTGATAAACGGCTTTTGCATGTCTCCCATATCTCCTCTCATGATCAACTGGCCGATGGTCTCACCAAATCTCTCTCAACAGCTAGGTTCTCCACTCTTGGATCCAAGATCGGTGTTGCCAACGGCACCTCCGTCTTGCGGGGGCATATCAAGGACAATAATTCAAAGCAAATCAAATCTTAGATTTACTGAATCAGTTTGTCATTACTACTGTATCAAATCTATATATTCAGTTTCCTTTTTGTATTTGGATTCTAATTGCAGAGACTTGTATATATTGTGCAAGTTGTATGAATAATAAACATACCTTCAGAATCAAGAGCTTTGCATCCTAATACCTAGCAGCCTCTTCTGGTGGAGCAAGAATGTCGAAAAACAAACGTATGGCGATCTTTCATTTGCAGTGATGCAAGCCAATGAGGATATGGAGGATAACAGCCTGGTTGAGATTGGATGGGTGGGAACCTTTGTTGGAGTTTATGATGGGCATGGTGGTCCAGACACGTCGCTATATATTACTGACAATCTCATTAAGAATTTGACGAGTAAGTTCTTGTTTCATTTCAAATTTAACTCTTTCTTTAGGAATCCCATGGATTGCTTTTTCTTTTTTTCTTACCTTCACTTTTGAAGGAAATTTTAATTTTCTTTTCAATCTCTGTTGCCTTGGGAATTATGTGTCTTGATGAATTGATTGACCTGAGAGTCTTTTGGTCCATTTTGGTTTCTTGTGGTTTTGTTCTTCTCAATGAATGTATATAATTTGTTTCCCTTATATTCATGCTATTTTTTTTGCCATTAAGAATAGTTTGTGTTTAAGTTCTATTTATTCTTTCTAGCCTCAAGGATGTATTTTTTGCTGCTACCTGAATTTGTTTTCTGTGATAGAAACTTTGTGGCCTTTGTCTTCGTTCATTTATTATTATTTTAAAAAAAAATTTAAATTTTAAATAAGTGGAAATCCATTTTTTAATGTAAAAATTTAAACACGGAGAATTTTTTTTTTCTTCTTTCAAACAAATTTGAGATTAGCTTACTCTCTCACTCTTTTTTTTTTTTTTTCCCTCTCTCTCTCCCTTTCTTTCTTTCTTTTCCTTTCATTATTTTCTTCTGGTAATAAAAGAGGAGCCTCCGTGGTATCAGCTTAACATCTGTTTTCCTTTAGTTTATAGCCACTGCTTGCCAGCCTTCATGTCAACATGCATTTTATTGGAGCATAAACATTAGTTTTCTTTACATCATCTTGCTTGTAATGGCTGTTTTTCAAGTGCTTTAACTAATTTCTTATAGAACCCATATTGTGTATCATTCAACAGGGCTTGCTAAGGAAGGAAGAACAATTTCTGAAGATATTGTTAAAAATGCTGTTATTGAAACTGAAAACGGATTTCTCAATCTTGTACGTCAAAGTTATACTACAAATCCAGAAATTGTAGCAGTTGGGTCTTGCTGTCTGGTTGGAGTTATATGGAAAGGAACACTGTATGTTGCAAATGTGGGGAATTCTCGAGCTGTAATAGGTTCTTTGGATAGAACAGGGAAGCTGGTTGCTGAGCAGTTGACTATAGATCACGATGTAAATTTTTGGGAGATCAGAAAAGAAGTTGAGTCCTCACATCCAGATGATCCAGATATTTTAGTCGAGAAATATGGAACATGGAGTATTAAAGGCAGGCTTGAGGTTAGTTCTTGTTCTCTGGACTGATTCACTTGGTCTCTGTTATAATCCACTAGTATTGTTGCATGTGTGGAATTAGTCATCACATGATAAAAGATTTGCATTTTTTGTTGACTCCTTTTAAACAAGCAACAATAGCCCACAATGCAGTTATGATTTTGAAAATTGTTAGGTATGAGTTAAAGACACCTGACCGAAATCTATTTGTGTTAATTGTTTTCAACTTTGGAGCCTACCATTGTCATAGAATTGGGTGGAGGTAACACAACACACACACACAGACACACATACTGGCATTAGGGTAAACAGTTGGTAAGGTGAAATCTGTTTCATTTGTGTTAAAATTCTTCTCATCACCCTCTCCCCTCTCCAAATTCCTTCTCAATAGCAATTATATCTTGTAATTCTGGAAAAAAGCAGCAAGTTTTGTGGATAGATAACTGAGTTTATTCTAAATAGATTTTAGGTTACACAAGGCACACACATGCACACAAACATACACATATTACTGCTTCTAATCTAGGGCATTGTGGGACATAGCTTTTCTAAGGTACATCCATCTTTTTATGGTTCTCTTTTTCAATATCAGTTTGTTTATTCTGCTTTCCATGTTGAGCACTTCCAACATTAGTCTCAAACATAATAGGTTTGGGAACCAAAAGATTGAAATCTTTAATCTCCACATCCTGTCCAGAAAATCTTCACGCAGTGTCCAAGGCAACTTTTATGACATTTCATTTCAGAGTAGCTAAATATTTCACAACTAAAATCATCCTTGTAATAGGAAAAAGAAACTCGAATCCTTTTACAAGACCCTAATATTGTACAAAAACCTGTCACTGGCATTATAGCTTGTATCTCCACATTTATGGCTTGTTTGACATTGATTCAGTTATAAATTGGAACTTCTACAAAAATTTGAGTTTGCAGCTTTCTTATATTGTGTTTGCCTGTCGATGATGTAAGGTTTCTAGAGCTAATGGTCATGCGAACATGAAGGCACTGGAGCACCCTATCCCCCGACTCTCTCCTCGACCTCTTCTAACAGCAGAACCATCAACCCTTACAAGGGTTTTGCAAACCAGTGATAAGTTTCTCATTTTTCCATCTGATGGGCTTTGGGAATTTTTGACGAAGGAGCAGGCTGTTCGTATTGTGAATAAATACCCACACAAAGTAAGTATTTTTTATTCATTTATGCATTTACCCTTTTTTTAAACAATTTTCATTGATTTACCTTTTCCTCTGTTTCAAAAAATTTTTAGGAAATTGCAAACAGACTTATCAAAACAGCTTTAATGAAGGCAGCTAAGAAGAGGCAGAGGAGCTTTGATTATCTTATGCATGTTCCAAAAGGCCAGGAGAGGAGGTATTTCCATGGTGATCTCACAGTTGTTGTCATCTTCATAGAACCTGAATTGCTGGAAAATGAGGGCGATTACCAATCAGCACAAGTTGCTGTTCGTGGATTTAGTGATGAAACTTCAGTATCATCGTTTAACAATGAATTAGCTGGTAGATCCCTCCTTGTCTACCATTTGAAAGGACAGGTTCAAGTTCAAGTTCCAATCCACAAGCTGCCAAAATGAGACCAACTACAAGTCCACCGATTGAAGAGACTGGGTTAGGGATGAGGCAACCATGCATCTTCCAAAGATTGGTTCAGCAAGCCTTTTTTTCATTTTTGTGAGCGCCAAGTATTGTTTTCTTCGGATTTTATTTTTATTTTTTTACATTAACCGACTATCCCTGCATAAAATAGTGAGGCTTCTTGTTGCATGATAAACAGTGAGGTTTCTTTTCAGAATCAAATTGAAAATATGAGTGTGTACTTGAACGATTTGAAATAATCCAAGGATGTTTCATCTATTATCCCTAGAAAGCATAAGCTCCTTATAATCATAACTGAAATTTAACAGATTCAACTCATTTTAAATGACATAATTCCTGCAATTATATATATATATATATATATGAAAGAAACTAAGTATTGCATTAAAATAAAAGAATATCCTATAGCACTATAGCACCAGACAAATTAGGAATAACACTATAACACTAGATAAATCGGGAATAGAAAAATAGAATTCAAATAACCTAAATTGAATTGTATGAACTAATTGACAATTTTCCTTGAGAACTGAAATTAACTAGGCTCTGTTCATAAATCCAAGTTCGAAAATGTATTTTAACTCCATATATAGGTAATTTCTTGATTTGCTTGGTTGTGAGGTTGTAGGATACCATCTGCCCATTGTCCTCCATAAGAAGCTCGTCACTCTTCACAAATAGGAAAGGCATCGGCTTATCCCGAAGAGGTCCAATGCGCAGTGGCTTTGTCCAAGTCCCATTAACCCCAAATTCATCCATTGTCCAAATGTCAAATGAATTCCCTGCCCCTAAAGGATGAACCAGAGCAAGTGATCCATTCAACTCAGTGAGGGATAAACAAACTTTGCCTTGACACGATTGTGGCATGACTATGCATCGGAAGACCTCATAAGTCATGTCAAACAAAACAATTACAGTCCAAGTATTTTCGAGGCCATCAGCTGTTCCCATCCAATAATAAGCTCCATTCCAATACCTTTCCAAAAATTTAACATATAAAATATATACCATAATAGCAACGTTATCAATCTCTACTTCTATACGGAAATTGTCAATTTCTCTCCAAGAATCCGTGCTCAAGGTGTATACCTCAGCTCTTCGAAGAAAGGGATGAATTTTGTTGTTGTTTGGTACATCAGCCCACACCCTAACAACCTTATAATCATCAGCTTTAGGGTCATAGCCAAATCCAATAGCACGTAACTGACGTACTCTGTAATCATCACCATTCGGACGCAGGCAAACGCGAGACTTTGGAAGAATCTTCGTCTCTCTTGTTGCTGGATTTGCTATGGTGAGTTCACCTTCACCAAAACATATGATGCCATTACAAACGCCCCAAATCTCAAAATTCCCAGTCTTGTCTAGGAGATAATCATCGATTCGAGTTTCTTGCATATTGTTCCTATCATCAAACGTAAGGATTGATAGAATTTTTACATCGGTTCTGGGACAGCAGCGCTTGACAAGAACGCAGAGGTTATCGGAGGCGGAGCGGACGTGGTTTTTACGGTGCTTTGGCCATGAAGTGAGGGTTTCTGACAAGAGAACACCATGACTTCCTAGCACACTTAAATCGCATCAAAGAGTTTACTGGTAGCCTTGACAATATCTCAATAACAAGGTCTTCTGACGATAGATCATTGAGCTTTGCCATTTTCTAAAATTAATCAAATGATATATACATATATATATATATATATATATATATTTGTTCTTTTTGGCGATAAGAAGATTGTTTATATGGTGACTTCTTGTTTTTCGAAATTGATACACATAATCTTATATTGCTTCAAAAAAAGATATACATAATCTTATCAACTTTATTTCAATTAGCTACCCTTTAGGAAACAATTCCATTTCTTGCGGGAGTAAATCAAGTAACAGTTTGGCATCTAACCAGTTTTTGCCAACTCAATTGGTAATCGAACTTGATTGATACAGATTAAAAGGTCTATGACTTAATTGAATTAAACAAAATATATGGGTGTGTGTTTGAATAATTTGAAATAATCTAAGGATTATTCAACTATTATTCATAAAAAAAGCACAAGTGCTTGTATGATGTTAACTGAAATTTAACTGATTCAACTACTCTTTGGAAAATCACACTTTTCTTTTTTTACTTCCTCACTTTTAAATCTGAATTATATTAAATTATAAAATAATAATTGTTAGATGTGGAAAAATTCTAATCTTATAGAGCCTACTTTTATTTATCAAATGATTAGCTTTATAAAATTCAATATAATTTAAATTATACAATACTTATTTCTTTTCTTTAGTCTCCTATTAACACATTGTTTCCTAAATTTGCTTTCTATGTTCAAGAAAAACTCACAATTTCTTTCCATTCTTTCATCCGGAAATTTGGGTAAAGAGGCCTAAGAGATATTTTAGTCATTGATTATGGATTATATGAGAAAGATTAGACTCTTTTTTTCTCAAATTATTATCCACTTGATTTAATATTCAAATATAAGAAATTTTTAAATTTGAGTGTTAAACTTAATTGAGTTATTCCCTTTAGGTTATAAAAAATGTATACTTAGAAGGGAATGTATATTTTATTTACCAATAAAAAAAAGGAAGGTTTTTATGTATTTGAGAGGGGTTTTAGATCCACCTTATAAGTAGTAAGAGTATGTACAATAGAGAATAACATAAACATTCACTTTAATATCACATTATCATATTTAATGTTATTTTATATAAATTTATTTTTTTATATATTTAACTCTCAAATTAAATACTTAATACATACAATAAAACAGAATTTTTTTCAAAAATTACACCATTATTATATTACTCAATTCATATTTTATATATTTAAATATTATTTTAAAAAATACATGCTAAAGGAAAAATGTAAAATGTAAAAAATTATTTTAAAAAAGGTTAAATGCTAAATTTAGTCCCTCAACTTTATGAAATGTACATTTTTGGTCCCTCAATAATTTTTTACATTTTTTTTATCCTTCAACTCTAAAAATTGCACAGTTTTGGTCCCTCCGTCAGTTAAGTATGATGTGGTAGTTAAATAATTTCATGTGGCAATGTCTTTTAATTTTTTTGCTGATGTGACTATAATATATATTATAATTATGTTATATAAATAAAAATGCCATGTAGATTAATATTTATATTTTAATTAAAAACAAATAAAATTACTTTATTATCTTCATGCCCCCAATCCCTCTTCTTCCCCTTCTTTCTTTCTCTTTCTTTCTTTCCTATCATGGGTCAATGGAAATAGGCTGGATTCCAATGGCTGGGTCTCGTTGAATCCAGCTGCTAGGTTCAGTTGAAACCCAGCCTTGTTGGGTTCGACGAGACCTGGGTTTCAACGAGACCTAGCCTTGCTAGTCACGCGAACTAGCCTTGCTGTTTCAACGCTAGGTTCATGTTTTTTCATTCTTCTTTCGATTTTCATTCCCAGTTGTTAATAATTTTGGGAGTTAATTTTCACTTTGATTGCATTTTTGTTGAAATTTGATTAGAGTTTGATTGTATTTTTGTTAGAATTTGATTAGAGTTTGATTGATATTGTTTATTGCAAGGTTAATTTGATTTGAGAAGATCTGCTAGGTTTGAGGTTTCAATGAAATCCAGTAGTTGGATTCAATGACAGAGAATTTCAAATTTCTCAAGTTCTCCTAAGAAAAGAGAAAAAGAAAAAATGGGTTAAGATCTGTTTTGTAGATGGAGTGGAGATGAGAGAGCTTTCAGAGAAGAAGAAAAAATGGGTTAAGATCGATTCTGTAGATAGAGTGGAGATGAGAGAGCATTTAGAGAATAAGAAGATATGAGGTAGATTGATTTTGCAGAGAGTGAAGACAAGAGAGGAAGATGACATGTGATCAAAAAAAGTCCAAATCAGCATCTTTTAGTGAAGACGAGAGAGGAAGATGACATGTCATCAAAAAAAGTC